ATATATATATATATATATATAATACAAGCAAGTACCAATGTTTCTTTTAAATAAAGGAGGATGGTTTTAGGGGTGCAAGACTTCCTGCAGGTCTTTTTGAAAGTCACATGATTTGTTTCAATGGTATCCCAGCTGTACAATATTTGAGAGCTGTAGAACTGTTTGACGTGAACGTGGTGTTGGTTGTTCCAAGCTGGGAAAAGTTACTTTCCAATTTATACAGCGTTCCAACTACAAAATTTATTTTTGTTTTTTAATGCTGCTCACCAATCTTGAAGGCCTTGCGCAGTGGAAAAAATGGTAGTGAGAAGGCTGTGAGTTTTGAAGTATACTGATAGGTCTTTGGTATCTCATATGCTTGGAAAATCTAAGGTGAATATCTTTGTTGTAATGTGAGGCCCAAATGTCATCTTTTTTATTTTTGTCTTTCCCAAATATGCAGCCTTAGTTGCTTTGGTTTATTTAAGTTTATTCTGTTCTGTGCCGTTACTTCAAATGTTTATGTGGATGATGTAGTAATGCCAAACGGATTGAATAATCCATTGTTGTAAGACGATGACTACATGGGCTTTACATGTGCCTGTGGTGATGTTCTGGATGATGAGTCATTTAACCTTAAATATGTACCTTCAACAATGAAAGAAACAACTCTTATTGTTGGAATTTGAAAATCTTGGAATCAGTTATTGAGGCAGCTACCAGAATGTTCTTACTCTGCTATTAGCTATGTTTTTCTGGATGCTTTAAGAATGCAATTAGGCTAATAACATATTTGTGTAGTGTTCACTAGGTAGTACAAAATTTTGAAAGCTAAGTTCTAGCTGAGAATCCATCTATAACATCTTAGTAATCTTAAGACATGGAAATACTTATCAGTTCATGTGATTTGTGTTAAATAAAAATATTTATTTCTTGGTAATCTTTTTATTAGACTTGGAGATTCAAAGTTAGAATAACTCATGTGTTATATGGTCTTTTTATGAGCTGTTGTATATTGTTAGCAGAACCTTCACAGTAATTTTATCATATTCTAACTATTAAATAATAGTTAGAAATACTAAATTATTTAACCTTTCTGCCTCAGAAACAACTTCTGGTGGCAATTGTTTCTCCTCCTCTTCCCTGGTTATTGTATCTGCTTTTAGATTAAGAGGTTGTTTTGGCCATGATCTCTTTTCTGATTTAGGTGGTCTTTAACATTTTGGAAAATTCTGGTTTTATATTTCCTGGTGTTTTTTTCTATTTCAGATTCACTGGAAAAAGAATGAAATAAACATGGAGTCTTCTAAACTGGAATATATTTCATGGGTCACAGTTACAAGTAAAAAGAAGATGGAACAAAATGAGAGAACAGGAGTATAACACCTGTCAAGAACTTTCCATTTTTGTGATATATATAAACTTGCGATATAATACAACTAATGATTTATAGTAATACTTTATTGATATCCCTGGAAGAAGTCAGTGACTGTGCAACTTGCTTAATGAGAACTTTTATTCTAATAACTTTACCATGTTTTAACCTTAACTGGACACTTTTTTTTTTTAAGTCTGAGAGTTAAAAACTTTGTATAGCTGTATTATAACTGAGAGACTCATCCTGACAGATGATTGACAGCTGCTCATGGAGAATGGATGTAAACCCATGAATGGTTACTATTGCATGGAGTTGAATGGAATGCCACAACTTTAGAGCAATTCTCTGAAGACCTTCTTCTTTGCCTTGCACCCATCATATCCTTAAATATTTAAGTATAAATACTGCAATTATAAAGTCTAAAAAATAATGGCATGGGTGAAATTCTTAAGAAAACCTGGGGGTAACCTTGGAAAAGTTTATCAGCCTGGAAGTATACTGTCCCTGGCCCCTACAAAAGGCTTATTAAATGAACCAGGACAAAACAGCTGCTTTCTTAACAGTGCTGTTCAGGTAAGAAAAAGCTTGATTTATTAAACAGTTCTGGATTTATAGCAGCTTAGATGGTCATAGTGGGGAAAGTGTTCTCTTGGCAATGCTGTTTTTACCATTTGTATTGCAGTACGTGTGTTCTACAGAAAAACACAGCATGTTTTTCCATGGTGTTAAATTCAGTTCTCAGATAAACTTCTTAATGATTCCAAGAAAGACAGAATAGCATGTCTTTTTGGAATGGGTTTTCCTTAAAAAACAAAACAAAACAAAAACAACTAAAAAAAATGTGGCAATCATGGAAAAAGACGAATGTTTGGAAGTAACTTGATTTAGCATTTCATTTTAAGGAATTGATTGAGGATATTGAATATCAGAAAAACTTTCCTTTTGTATTTGGAAACTCACAACTCATAACTTCAAAACTTGCTGCTTGAATTTTAAAACTAATGTTTATGTCAAACATAGCAGTTTTATTACTTGCCAAATTTACAAGACACTTTTTAATGTGGGGCAACCAGTACTACTATTTTTTATTAAAATACCATTTTCTCAGAATTAGCACATTCGCCTGTGGTACTGGGGCATATCAGAAGGGGCACATATAGTTGAAAGCTTTGATTCTAATCTTAGGAAAGATCTGTGCAATTACTGTAGGAGATATACTGTATACCAAAGAAATAGGACTTAGATTTCTTTTTACTGTTTATATGCATATGTATTACCGACTGACTTCTTGCATGTGTTAACCTACACACTGTTCTGTTTTCACATCAGCTGTAATTGGGAAAACACTTGCTCTTTAGATCTTTCAAGTATAGTTTAATAGTACAGTGACATGAGCATGATAAAAATAGAGCTTTTACAAGCCTACTTCTGACAGGGAATGTGGAGATCTACTTAATTCCATGACAGAGCAGTGCTAGCCTTTCCACATTGTCTGCAAGTCAGAATACCAGGCGCAGTTTAGTTTATACTATAGTCTTGTTAAATCTAGAAATTAATACCACCGCCAGATTTCTAGGCTGTGCAAATAAAGAGCAGAACAATATTTTGTTTTATAACGCTTAGATTTTGGACCTGAATGTTTTCAAATTGGATATAATTCTTTGCCACACTGGCAGAGGGTTTAATAGATGCTTAGGCTTCCTAAAAAAAACAACCAACAAACCAGTAAGTCTTAAAAATGGTAAGGATTTAAACATGGGAGATATAGGAGATATGAGAGTTGTATCTGCATGGTGTGTATGTGTATGCTATCTAAACATGTTTAAAATAAAAATGTACAATAGACTTAGTAGAATGAGTTTGCCGTTATACATTCAATGGGAACAGCATGACCTATATTCTGTTGCAGTTTTGCTGTTTTCCCTTAGGGTGCCCTAAAATTAAACCCTAAGTCATTTTTAGTTATAGTTTCAGACAATCCTGCTACTTCACAGCCTACTGCTGTTTATCAAATGGTGGCTGATGATTGGTGACTGCCGTGCTACAAGGTGGAATGTGTTCCTTTTTTTTTTTTTTTTTTTTTTTTCTCCTTTAACCTCTGTTCAACCTTTAGAACTGAGGTTTGGACATTCATTTTCAAATGCATCCCGATTCAGTTTAGCTTTTATGTTTATAGATAGGCTTTTTTTTTCTTTCCTTGATTTGCAGCTGTTGTGTTACTGTGCCTCTTGAGAACTAATTTTTGCATTTGGTTTTTTTTATGGGCAACTTTCTGAACTACTCTACTGCTTGTGTACCTAAGACATTAGATACTGAAAGCAGTGTAGTGTAGCCAGGTTGACATTACCTTGATATAGAGTAGTTACACAAATAAAAGGTAGAAACATATGTGATAAAGCACCAGGATTATTTTGATCTGTGGAAAAATGAATTTATTTCAGCAATCATTTTAGTAAGAGACCACAAGAATGTAGTATTGACTTAACCTGAAATGATGCTTGCATTTTACCTTGCAAATCAGTTTCCATCTTTTTATTATTATTATATTTTTATTTGAACAAAAGCACGGGGA